AAATTTATAAATTAAGATAAAATATACATACAAGATCCCTATGAATTATATTATTTTCATGTAGGTATTGAATACCCTAACGCTATTTTTGACCCTATCCCTAATTTTCATTAACGTTAATCATCATCATCTTTGGGGGTACGATGCACTCTCTCATTGGCGCCGACGAATTTTCACTGATTGACCAATCGTATCTTATCAAAACAACGAAGTCATAAAACACTATGTTAGGTCAGGTTACAGTTATATTGAGGCCTGTCTTATGCAAAAATTTTGCAAGTAGTTTTTTTTACTAGTGCGCAGAAGGTAGTAATATAGATGAAATTTTGGGTTTTTTAAAACGCATTATTTCACATTACACCAGATCTTGGCGATCCACTGGGTGAAACCCGTGCTGTAAATTAGTAAAATCCGCTACATAGTTCATATTAGGGTTAAATCCGCGTTTAGATGTACATGGCTAGCATTATTATAGACGCATTACGGCATGAGCTGCATTAGATAAAATATAGCAGAATTAAATTATGTGCATGCTGTCCCGTTGAAAATAGAATTCTTAATAGTATTACCTAAATATGATTGGAGCAAAAGGTTATCTCGATATTCATGAACAAATATCTTGCCAAATTAAGTAATAATGCTCTTAGGGATATTTATTAGCTAGATGAAATTGCAAGATAATAGTAGAGGTTGGAACCGGTTTTAATAATTCGAGTTTATCACGTGAATTTTGTGATATTTTAGAATATAATCCAATTAAATTTGAATAAATTCCAAAATATCACAAAATTCACGTGATAAACTCGAATTATTAAAACCGGTTCCAATCTCTAGATAATAGCACATTAAATTCACCTAAATAGAAATTTTAAATATCTTATTTAGCTTTGAAGAAAAAAAGATGCAATTTCTCGGAACTGACTAATATCCCAACATATTCTGGTAGTACAAATTTACTAATAAGCCTTTGTTTAATTCAAGATTCAGAAACAAAAAGCCATTTCGGAGTACTAGAATATGCTGACAATGGAAATCTTCATGATTTTCTGTCTAAGCATAAAAATTTGGAGTGGACTAAGAAAATACAAATCGCGATAGATGTAGCTGATGGTTTAAAATATTTACACAACACAGTAAACATGATTCATCGAAATTTGGTGAGCTTATCATTTTTTTAGTAATATTTTTACGTTATTATTACTATTATTCTTAAATGAAAATATTTTTCCATGTTAAGAACACAAAAACGGTCCTAATAAATAATGGAAAAGCTCGAATATCTAACCCTATATTTTTGGAATTAAACTTAGACTCTTCATCTATATCATTACAAGAAGGAATGATAGGATTTACAGACCCAGAGCTTTTAAAAGATCTAAATTTACAATTTTCAAATCGTCCGACATCTACAGCTTTGGTATGATTATGTGGTCAATCACAAGTGGAAGGACACCATTTGAAAATTATACGAATCAAACTACTTTGGTGAATTTAATTGTATCAAAGAACATGCGTGAAAATCCTATAGAAGATACACCACAGGAGTACATAGATTTATATGAAAACTGCTGGAAAGTAAATTCAAAAGAGCGACCAACAGCGCAAGATGCGTATACTAAACTTACCCAGATTGAGATAAATTTGCTAGAACCACGCAATATAAATGGCGAGAAAATCGTAAATTCTGAACAGAATATGAATGTAAATGAACAGAATATAAATGGTAAGTAGAATATAAGTGTGAGATATTTTATTACATTTATACTTTAGAACAGTTAACTTTAGAACAGTTAGCAGGTTGCAATTGATTAATTAGAATCTTGTCCAGCATCACCAGCAAAATCTTTACATTCGCGTGATACACGGAAAAACTCAACGTTAAAATACTTGGGATGTTATACCGAAACAGTATGCATATGATTCAATTCTCTAATCATGGCCACGCCGTGCTGTGCATATAAGGTCATGTATTTTCTGTGCCGATATAGCGTCCCATGCTATTTACTAATTTTCAATTATCACGTGAGCACAAAATTTTGTTGCGACAATTAGTTTCTAATTGGGTAATTATTTTTGAATCCAGACAAAAATGTTATTATGTCATATATAAAATTGGTCCGGATTCATAATTAGTAAATTGTCGCATGATGTTATAACCCAATTTTCTATTAATCAAAGTCGATCCCCGTTATCGTCGAAATAACTCACACTACCTTCTTAATTGTTGACTATCCAGATACAAATATGTCAAAAATCATTGAATACAACCGTTTTAGTGATCCTGAAAAAATTGGAGAAGGAGGTTTTGGAATTATTAGTAGATATAAATTTGGAGACATACTGTGTGTTTTAAAATGTAGTAAAAAACTGTGAAGTTTTCGACAACGAACTCAAATTAATGAAAGATATCAGTCATCAAAATATAATTAAATTCTATGGAATTACTATAGATAACCATGAAAATCACTATATAGTGCTACAATATGCTGACAGCGGAAATTTAAGAGAATACCTTAAAGTAAATGTTACAAATTTAAAATGGCCAAACAAATTACTCATCGCCAAGGAAATTGCATTGGGTATTCAATACCTACATGAAAATAATATAATTCATAGGGATCTTGTATGTATATTTTATCTTAATTTATAAATTT